TTGCATTGGCTCCACTCTCTTGGAGCTTGACCACTTAGCTGAGGGCTAGCATTGAAGTACTCCTCAATTCTCTTCCAAAAACAGAGTCCCTTCTGCTCATTCCCCACTATGGGATCCTTACTGGTGTTCAACCAAGCGGAAATGAGCACAAGGTCTTCTTTTGTCTGCCACTTTCTTCTTTCAAACGCTTTAGGAGGCTTAGGAATCTCTACGTCTATGGGTTGACTGCTTTGGGACGCTAACAGGTTAATAAACCCGGGAGAATTGTGGTAAAAAGGATCCATTAAGGTTATAGTTGTTGATTAAAATTTTGGTTTGTTAAGAGGATTATGGTTTGTGTTTTCGGAAGTTCAGAAGCTCTCTTTTTAAAGTAGTTTAAATTACTGAAACTCAACAACCAAAATTCATTAAGGTTAAATTACTCAACAACCAAAATTCATTAAGGTTCAATTTCTCTACAACTACATCAGACAAGACATTCAATAACCCATCATATCAGTCTAAGGAAAGCAAACATGAGTCACAACAACCAACAACAAACAATTAATGTTTTTTAAGTAGCCGTTGAATTTTAGTTTCTTTTTAGGTTAGTCTCGCTAAAGAACTAGAGGACTAGTTCTAGCAAACCTAGAACTAGATTTTTAAAAGAAAACTTATTAAGTTTTCAAAAGTTTATCAGTATTTAGATTTTTAAGTTTTTTAAAAGATACCTTATTAAGAACTTATTAAGAACTAGATTTTTAAAAGAAAACTTATTAAGTTTTTTAAAAGAAAACTTATTAAGAACTTATTAAGTGTTTACCTTGACATATCAGTCGAAGCACACCTTCACCAAAGCAGCCATCTCCACAGTGAGGTAATCTACCTGGGCAGACAATATTTTAACCTGTACCTGCACAAGTTCAAAACAATTAAACTTTACTATTAGTCACATTTAACTATACTGCATAAAACTATAGCAATTTAAAAACCACTAACCTCGAGTGACTCGATCTGTCTAGTGAGACTCGAGACCCCTTTCATCACCTTCTCAGCCTCCTCCACGCGCATAGTCAACCTTTCAATCTCCTCTTGAACACCAATGACCCAAGGCTGCCTATAATGTAAACCATCTCCCTTGTAAACAAAGAAAAACACAATGAAGTTAGACAATTATTTTTTAAAAAAACACAGATAAAAAAAGCTTGAAATAACATTACCTTGTACTTAGAACAAGTGAAGAACCGCTTCCCCGGGATAGTGTCAAAGTCCTCCTTCCCACTAACCTCGTCGATGATCTTCGCACCACATGCACACCTTCTTGGCATCCCAAACTCAGAATCGGCAACGTAGCCAAGAATGTTCAAGTGTTCCTTCAGCCTCTTTGACTGTCTTCTCTCTTCCGCGGGATCCATCTGCATAAGACAAAGCAAAATAAGATGAGTATACTAGAATGTTTCATTCTTATGTTGAAATCCATTTTTCTAAACCCTAACTGAAATCCCCAAATCGATTTTTTGAAACCCTAAATTGAAATCCAAAATCGATTCGTAAGTAACCCTAATTGAAGTCTAAATCGAACCCACATCACAGTTTAGAACAATAAATCAAAACCCCCAAATCCATTTTTCGAAACCCTAATTTGAATTCCCAAATCAATTCGAGATAAACCCTAATTGAAGCCTAAATCCAACCCACACCACAGTTTAGAACAATAAAGAAAAACACCCGAGTCGATTAACATCAAAACCTAAAAACCCCTAAATCGATTTCGATTTCGCTTCCCCGAATTCGTTAAAAACCCTAAAAACATGAACTTGAGACGGTTAATCGACGAGAAACTAACCTGAGATGATCGAGGACGCACACCGTCGATGATTAGCCGGAGTAAATCAACGGTCTTCGTCGTCGCACCAAGAATCGCCTCGGAGCAAAAAAACCCTAGGTTTCTTTCGAGAAAGGACGCAATGAAATAACACGCGAGATCCTTCTTTCTTCGGCTAAACCGCGTCCTCCAAACGTCCACTCCACACACGACACGTGTCTTGAACCCGTATCATACGGGTTCAGAGTTAAGACGCAGATCACGGGTAATTACCCATTTTCTGTTTTTCTTTTTCCTTCCGGGCCTATGACCCCGAGCCCAAAAACCGGCTTAGAACCCTCAATGCTCTTGCTCTTAGCTTGTTAAGAAACTGATTATCCCAAGCTTGAAGCTTCATAATCTTCATTTTTTCTTAAGAATTTTCGAAGTTAGGCTCAGTCTATCATCTTTGATATCGATATAGTGTTTACATAGCAGATGAACTCAGTGTTCTCTGAACATCAACATTGATGTAGCTTTTCCGAGATTGACTAGATAAAATAGTAAACATTTTTGGTATATATTTTAGTATAAACCTTCGTTATAATGTTTAACTTTTTCACTACAGTTATTTAGTCGTGCGAAGTTGAGGCAAAATAGTATCCAAGAAAAACAAAAACAAAAACAAAAAACGAAATGAGGTCTGATAACAAATTTATATACAAGAAATGGTTTGGTTAGAGTTCTTTGTTTGCGGAAAAAAACAGTAAGAGCAGAGGATTCACCGGTGGTAAAGACGGAACCTCAGCTCTACACAATGGACAAGTCAACGTTTCACCAAGCCATGGATCAATACAATCCGCGTGGAAGCAGTGGCGACAAATCGTTAACCGCCTCATTTTATCTCCTTCCTCTGGCTCTTGCAGGCACACTACGCAATACAACGGATACGAATGTTTATTCACAGCCGTTTTCCCCTGACTGCTGCGGAACTTGAACGTGCGGTAGCGACGCCATGGACGAGTGACGATGAAAATGGCTAGTTTTGAGAAGAGACGAAGAGAGAAGACGACGATGGAGGCGACCATGATGGAAACGGTGATGTATTTGCAGAATTTAAAAACAGTTTCAGCATACATCGTCAAAGAAAAAAAAAACTGTGTTTACTTAGTAACCTTGTCGCGATTAAAGTCGCGTATATATAGCATATATACCTGTGTTGTCTTGATTTGATATAGCTATACGTTTAAGTTTTTGACGATAGCAACGACAAGTTTGTGAAAATGTTGGTCTCTAACCAAGTAACTGCGTGATAATTTCTTTTTTTTTTTAAGTAGAATTTTTCGAAGTGAATGCGTGACCCTAATTACAAGTTATTTTGGTGGTTGTCAGTTGACTTCTACTCAGGTCGCTTCGTGGATTCGGAAACTTGATTAATACGTCAAAGCCTAATAAGTTTCCGAGTAAAATGTGATTATTTTACATACGAAAATGCGGCTATGTTACAACAAGACCTAATTACGTATACGACAAGGCAAGTAGACTTGGAAAGTCTCATTTGTTTTGTTTTCATCGGCAAAACCTAGTCTTTGATGCTGACAAAGATACAAGAGAATCAGGAACAACGTGTAATGGTTATAGAGAATCGTGAAGATGTTTTCTTTTATGCTAGGTAATTATACTATTACAAACTACGAAAAATATTACAGATGATTCAACAGCGACAATTATACATGTATTATATGAAATCACATCTAATTGCACAACTGAACCACCCTATAAGATCCACACTTAACCGTATTCTTTGTGCCATCTTGCAGATCTCTGGTAAGTTTTTTCTTCATTAATTCGTATAATTTCATCTTTTTAAGAAGTTGAAATCTAGACTTCCTGATATAAAAACATTAATGAACATTTAATCAAACCACTTGATCAAAGAGGCTTTCAAGAATCATGAAAATATGAAACATAACTTGATTTAAGTGTGGATTTGATAAACAATAGTTGATATTAAGTACTATATATATATATATATTTAATTTTTATCTATTTATTTATGTTATTAAATAATTATATAAGTGTCCTCAATTTTATTTAGTTTTTTTTTTCAATACTTATACCAGTGTCTTGTTGATGAACTGATAAACCTGATGCTCAATATATTATCTGGTTTAGATTTAATAAGAAATCTGTTAATTGTCTCATAGTTGAACTGGTAAACCTAATAATTAATATATTATCAGGTTTAGATTTAATAAGAAATCTGTTAATTAAAACCTGATAAAAACTTAACAACCAACTATTAATTGTGATTTAACACCAGTTGATCCAGCAAAAGATCCACAGATATATGATAGTATTTTTACAACTTGGAAATTTGAAAAGATCCAGAAATTGTTAAAATCATCATAAATCATGGGAATCAAGAATATAGATTATGAAAAGTCTTGGGTACATTAAATTATGAATTAATTTAGTGCAAATTCATGTAAAATTTAATTCTTATAAGATCGGTTGTTAGTTATTAACAATTTATATTGATAGTTTAATTTGAATTAGATAGTTTTCACATATATATATATATATATATATATATATATATATATATATATAAGTCATTATGATTATAGTTTAAAAATTTATGATTAAGTTGTAAATATTTTGGTGTTATTTTCTAAATTTATAAAATAGATGTTCCTCCACAGCATGGACAAAAACATCCAAACTCTGAATATTAAAATTGATGTGTCAAGAAGTGCGAGCGTGAGAATATGGTATTTTGTAACATCAATTGAATACATATATATTTACTAGGGAAAACCCCTCTTACGAACAGGTATACAGATAAACAAAATAATATAAATATAATTTTAGTTTGCGTGAAATTGTGACAAAATATTTAATTTTTTCTCAACTTAAATTACTTTAACTTTCACTATTTTCTCTTACAATTTATTATATTATTTTTGTTAGAAATAATTTAGTTAGTTTATCACTAAAATATTCATGAAAATATAATTATTTTAATTTGATCTTAATATTTTTTACTTTGAAATTGATTATAAATAATGTTAATTTTTTAAAGATGTTAGTTGATTATGGTCAGTACAGAGACCATGAATTTCTTTTTGTGTTTAAGTTTTGAATTTAGTTGTAATTGTTTTTGTCATATATTCTCTCTTTAATCTACTAATTTAAAAGATATGAAACATGAATCATTGATTAAATAAAAGTCACATTAAATTAGATATATTTCATAAAAGTATAATATTAATTAGTACTATTTATAAATACAAAAATTTGCTTGAACCTTGAATATGCCACTAAACTTGTAAACTAATTAGGATATCCAACATAAATGTTACTAATTAATTGTTCAAATATGATTTTTTCATTAGTTTGTTACATATTATTTTCTGAAACAGAACTCTGTCACATACAATTATTCATTTTTATAATAATAATTAACTATATTTTTTATTCATTAGATATTTTAATTATATTTAAAATAATTAGTTTATATATATAAAGTAGCCAGTTTATGACGTCCGACCTTTACCATGTAGTCTAAACATTGAACAACTTCGTAATAAGGAAATTATATAATGTCATGTTTTTTTTTTGTTCTGACAACAATATAAGAACTAATTATAACGAGTCCTCCTGTTCTGGATAACTAGACTAGAGGGATTGAATCGACATAAAGCATAGCTGAATGGGAATTCCTTGCACCACGTGCTAGTTTGTCCGTCATAATGTTGTGTGCCTTCGAAATATGTCTGATTCGAAAGTTGGAAAAGAAAGTCTTATTGTGGGTGAATTCTTCCATATGTGTCGCAAAAACTGGCAATTCTTCAGGTATCGACACCATCATCACCAATTGAGAACAATCCGTCACAAAAACTACATCTGAGATCTGTGGGGTCTTCATACACTCTGAAGACCGAGAGTTCAATCAGGGGAAGACAAAGGATGTGGGCAACAATGCTCTTAAACAAAACGATACAATCAGAATTCGGTTGACAAGAATGGACTTTTATTGAATATGGAATTCGTTTACAAGGTTATGAATAAGAAATCCATAGAATGAAGTCGATATGATTAGTAAATAGCTCTAGGGTTTTCCGTGTGTCTTAAACTCCACTATAGCTTTCTTTTTATAGTCCTTTCCTCCTCTAACTGTTTCCGCGATCTCCGGGATCTCATATCGACCTCGCGGTGTCCGTTGATCACGACGTGATGGTAAAATGTGGGCATTGGCCTTATTGTGGCCATTTGGCTTAGCCTTTTTCTCGTTGTACTTCTCCGAATGCTCCACGAACTCGCTTGTATAATTCTTCGACGGACTTCGAGTTAATGGGCCCGATTTTGGGTCCAACATTCAAAACGTAATATCGTTTCGCTATCTTCACAAGGTCTAAAAGGATTACTCTCAACACCAAGAGATCTACCAACCATTGGAGTACTCAAAGGAGTTGCTTTGTACATACGAAAGTGTTTCAATAACCTGTTTGTACAGTTTGATTGATGCATAAATATTCCTTCTCGAAAATGTTGAGTCTGGAACCTAAGACAAAATTTTATATTTCCGTGATATTTCATTTCGAACTCTTCTTTTATATGAGTTTGTGCACCATCAACTTCCTTTTGAGTTCCACTAATGTTCAGTTCATCTACATATACATCAATGATCACAAAGGAAAATAAAAATTTCTTTATCATTCGTATAGCGATCATTGTAACTGACCGAACAAATCTCCCTTGATTTTTCTTTCAATGCTTCTGGCATTTTCAATCCTTCAGAGAGGTTTATGTATATATCATTATCCAACAATCCATACAAATATGCAGTCATAACGTCTTTAAGGTGCAGTTCTAGATTTTCAGAGGCCGCTAGGTTCATTAAAAATCTAAATTTTTTTGCATTCATTATCAGGGAATACGTTTTCGCAAAATAAATTCTCATACTCTGAGAAAATTCTTGGGCAACTAATCAGGTTTTATATCGTTTTATTTTATTCTTCTCATTTATGTTTCTCACGAATACCCACATACACCCAAATAGGATTTATATTCTCAGACGTTATGACTATATGTCCAAAGACATTTCCAGAATGGACCTTGGATCGGGATCATCATTTTCATGATCGATTTATTTGGAGACAGAAAAAGAAAACATACATTTTTCTATTATTATCTTTCACCACAGGTGTATTTGGGTGTGAATCTCATACTGTTATGCTTCATTCCCGTCATCTGGTTCTTTATCTTTATTTGGTTATTTTGAACATTTTTATTTATGTTTTCTTTCAGACATCTTTCAGTATCAAATTCTTCTAGAACTCTTCCGTTTCTGCCTTCTTTCAGACATTTATCAGTATTAGGTTCTTCTAGAAATATCAAGATGAGAATTCAAGCCATGAAAATATGGTCCAAATTCATAAGAGATGGTATTACATTCCATTTCCTTTATTTTTTTCTTTTTGATTTTCAATATAGATCGGTTAAATAATTTTGGCATACGACAAAAATGTATCTAATCTTTTCTAATGCCGAATTTGTAGTAAACCATTTGCCTTTTATCGGCCGACCATTTTTATTTCTGTGGAATTTCTTATTTCTCTTATAATAGGAATCTTATTTTTTGTCCTTTCCACGACCATGATTTTTACCCTTGTATTTTTTTTATTAAGACAACATGATTTTTTATTATCCTGAGTTTTTTTTTCTTTCCAGTATATATGGAGGATTTATACCAACTCCAACAATTTTGTGAATCCTTTTTTCAAAGATTTAATTACTTTTCGTTCAAAGATTTAATTTCTTTCTTTCTTTCATGAACTTAATTACTCAAAGACCTTTAAATCTTTTCTCATGATAAATCTCATCTTTTAAACCATTATTGGAGTGGTGTAAAATATCATAGCTTTTTATTTTTCTCATCTGATATAATTTTTAGATTTATCGATGATTCTAAAAGCTCACTTTCTCTAAGGTGCATCTTTGCACCCACTGTGTAAGTCGCATAATTATTTATTTTTATATCAAGGGCATTTACTTTGAGTTTTTACAAATTCGACATGACAACCATATTCATAGAATAATATATAAAATATATTATAAAGACAATAATTTCAAT